TTATTTAAATTTCTCATCTAACCCTGCATGGTTTAGGGTTTTACATGCTACCAGAGGTTTCAGTTGAGACTACTAGGCTGAGAGGCTGAGTGACCGCAGGCTTCCCTTTGGAGCTTTGCGTTAGATCAGGCACCCTCTGTGTGATGTACCCTTCGGTAAGGCAAAGTGACCAGAGCTCTGAGAACTTGTGGTAACTACAGATTTATCTTCATTTATATGTTTGCACTAGAACTGCTGTAATACAATTTTAAAATGGTATCTTAGTACTAACCTGAAGCCATTTGCTTTTATCTCTTTTTAGTTATTTAGGGGCTTCCTCACCCTACGATGCAGTCAAAGTGCTGGCAAAAAAGGGCGATGTGACATCCCTTAAAACTGCTGCTGAGCTGGCTCTGATATCTGGAGAGGAGGAGTTGTCAGCAACTTTGTCTTTCAGATGTGCCCAAGAGCTGCTGTCATCCAGGAACTGGGTGGGGGCTCAGGAAGTCCTTCAGCAACAGAAAACTTTATTTGTGAGACTGGTTTTTTTTCTTCTCCCTTTCTCTAGCATTAACTGATTAACTTGATTAACTTGGCACCCCTTCTCTATGTTAACAGTCCCCAGGTAGTCTATTTGAGCTCGCTTTGCCTCAAAATATTCTGCTAGAAGTGTATTGCAGTGATGCTATAAGCAAGCATGTCCCTTTTGCAGAGGCCAAGGACCTGTAGTGGGGAAGCACGTAGGTCCTGTTCTTGACAGATAATAATTGGGGATGTAATAACATGAAAAGGTGGGAAGGAGTCACAGGGCAGAATACAGGGAAATAAGGAGAGGTATTTGAGAGAGGTATTTTTTTTATTTTAAAAATGTAATTGATGTAGTGCAGTTTTCTTGCTCTAATTTCTTTTTAAGTATACAATACCGATGTTAAGAAAGGGGTAGAAGGAAGTATTCGTTGCTTACATTAAATGAATGAACAAGCTAACTGTAACCCTGTTAGCTGTTAGAGACTTAACCTGGGAACTTGATTTTGTGTGGACTGAGAAGCAGAAGGTCAGATTAGCTTGGTCTGAGGTTCCCTTCTGGCCTTAGATTCCCTGACTCGATTGCCTTTGGTAGCTGCAGTTGTGAAACAAGCTGTCACCATCAAGATGCTAGTAGCCATGATGTTTTTAAATGTCATGTGGTGTGACCAATAAGTGATTTTTTTTTTCTCTTCACAACAGCTTAGTGCTCTTTTTTTCTCTTATTGAAGGGACAAAGGCTTGTTTTCTGCCTTAATGAATTGCTTTGCAAGTACCTTAGTGAGAGAAATCCATTTGACCGGAAGAGCCCTTCCTCTCCCTGTTACCACAGCTGGGAGCTGGACAAAGAGTCCCCATTTCTTGACATGGTGATGGAAGTCTGGCAGAGTGCATTGGGCATGAATACCACTGAACAAGCCACATGTGCACGGGAGCAGCTGCGCAATATCGAGTACCCTCCTTCAACCAGCAACACACATCCCAAGCAGGTAATTGGGCTTAGATCTGTGTATACAGTAAATCTTATTGTGATGTGCGTAATAAGCAAATTACTTTGTGGTGGTGTGCCAGCCACTTCTAGGGGACTGGTTTCTGCACCCTGCTGCAGGGTGAGGTTATTTCCTAGGAGAGGTGGATGATAAGCAGCTGGGACAGCTTGCGTAGTTGGCAGTGTGTTTCTGCACAGGGTAAGAACTGACATACACTGAGATCAGTGAGACGTGCTGGCTGCATGGGATTGATTGCGCAGGTCAGTGGTCTCGGCCGTGATTCAATTTTTCATGTAGAATTGTTAGCAGAGGCAACTTGTTTTTAAAATACCCTGGAGTTCAGAAAGTCTGTTCATAGAGCAGTGCTGCTACAGCTGTCCTCTCTGACCCTGCTGAGTCCCTAACCTTTGATGTACTCCCGCTCCTCATCCACTTACGAGGACACATGCAAGCACAGCTGCTGATCTTACAATGACAAGTAATGCTAAAGTACTCTGGTCTCCTGCACGAAGGAGAGTATGTAAATTGCGTCATTGTTAAAATTGCTTTTGGTTAAGTCATGTGCTCTTGGGCTTTTCCACAATGGCGATAACCTGTCAGTCATTCATACTTTGCAGTGAAGCTATTAATACATGCTCTTGCTGCTTCCTATAGCTGCTTTTCCATATCTCCCACGACCTGACCCTTGCAACGCTGAGCTATCAGACTGCTGCGTGGGATGAGGCACTGAAAAGTATTCTTGGAGCTGTGATCCGCAGTTATGATGCTGGTAATTTCACTCTGATGCAAGAGATCTGCAGTATCCTCCTTCCTGAAGGTAAGGCTCTTGCGTATCTCCTGGTACTGACAAATAGGGGGATCATCCTTGTGAGCAGAGTTACGTGTCCATTAACTCTAAATTTACTAGGCATAGTAACCTTTGGAAGGAGTAGGACATTCCCATGTATATGGGAACCCATGGCTCTTAGCAGTGTACTGCTTCCGTGCCAAGTCTGTGCCACTTAACTGTCAGTGGAGTCTGGCTATTGCAAAGGCAGTTGGGTGATCAAAATTCCTAACTGTGGAAGAAAGCTCACCAGTAACATTTGCTTTCAGAATATGCAGTGCAGAGGTCTTGTGGCTCTTGATCATGTGACTATCCTGATGTGCAGTTTAGGATCAAGGAAGTTTGCTGTGAACGATAAGAACATGCAGTCATGAGCTAGCTAGAACACAGCACTGTATTTAGAAAGATGCCTATCTTTCTGCTACCTGCACCCCTCTGCCAGTGTCTGAATAAATCTCTATTCTGGGTCTCCAAGATAGCCAGTTCACTTACCACATCTGGTCTTTGTCTTTGGAAATCCTTGTAATCTATCTTTTAATCCTTTTTGTGTTATTAGGCTGTGATAACCTGAGACAGAAACTAGACAGCACAGATACACAGAGCATGGATGCTTGCAGAAGTTTAGAGGGCTTTGTGGCTTACGGATTGCTGTATGACCTGTGGTGGAACCCGCCCAAAGATTGTCTTGCAAAAGATTTGCAAAAGGCTGTCTTGGATCCTGTGCTGAGTCCGAGTGAGAAGACAGCTCCCGAACAGAGTTACGTTTCAGGTTGCTCTCCTCCTGAAGAAACTGCTGATCAATGTGCAGTCGAGATGGATGAAAACCTTCACGGTGCAACTGAACTTCAGAGGTGCGAGACAGAAAGTGACTCGAGGGCTGCCTCAGTGGATTTGGAAGACAGGCAGTCAAAACTGAGTGGCTGCAAAGTGCTTCTTTCGGAAGTGATTGCTGCTTTGCAGAGTACCCAGAGAGATATAGCCGAGGTCCAGCAGATTTTAGCAGAGATGATCCGCCAGCATCAGAAGAACAACCTCCAGGGAAGCACAAATGGAAGTACGGAGGAAAGCAAGCTGCAGCAGAGTTCAGAGACTGAATCAGACAAGCCATGCTCTGACAGCAGCCAGATGAAGTGGTAAGTTTTGAAACGTGAAGGAATGTACTGAAGTGTTGCTTTATTATTTTGTGTTTGTGAAGCAGATTAGCTGCTTAGCTCAGCTTCACTCTACTCTCCAGTTTATCACCTAGAGACACTTCAACATATAGCTCAGAACTCTTGTGCTTCCCCTGAGCTGAAGCACCACATGCTTAAACTTACTACAGCCAAATAACTTTCTGATGCACAGAGTGCGTTGATACAGTGAACAAACAAAGCAATTTGAAAAGGGGAGGATAATCAAAAGGACAAACACGATGTAAGAGTTCTGTGTCTCTGTTGAACAATTCTTTGGGTCATTGGCAAGAAAGAGCTAGAGGATGTAACATTCGTCTAACGCTCCGTTCCCAGAAGAGTAGGGAGCCTGTGCAGTCTTTTAAGCAAAACAGTTACTCATGACATCTGTTCTTTTTTGACAGTAAAGCTGAAGTAAAGGAACCCATTACCCTCCCTGAGCTAACAAAGCAGCTTCTCAGAGCAAACCAGAAGCTAGCAGAATTTCCAGAGAGTTTAAAGGTAAGTTTTTTCAGAAGAGGTGTTGTGGTTCTGAAAGATCTTCTTGTACTTTGAGCTGGAATGGATGATAAGGGCAGCATCATGATATAATCCCTTTTATACAGAAAGCAAGGAGTGGTGACTTTTTGTGCCACAGTTACAGACTCTTTGTTTGTAAGATAAAGGTGCCGTACTGCTATGTTGGTGCTGGCAATATAGATGCAGGCTGGCTGATAAAGGTAAGCGGAGACACCCTGATCCTATGATGATTTTGAGAGACGATTAACACAAGGTGTTGGGGTCCAGTTGGTGCAATTTTTGCTTCACCCATGACTTAAAGCAATTCGAAAGCGTAGATCCCACATGGGAGAACTTAGTGGAATATTGCAGTATAAATCTCTGCTACGCATTTTAAAAGTAATCCCTTGCTATTTATGATAATTATGCACCCAAAAACACAGCTTTGATAGCATATTTAGAAACTTAAGGTGTAGCATGGCCTATATAGATTAGGAACTGTAGAAACTACTTTAAAGAGTATCACCTTACATTTCTTCTTGCAGGCCTTCCCTTTCCCTGACGTGCTGGAGTGCTGTCTTGTACTCCTTCACATTGGATCCCAGTGTCCTCCTGAACTACACGAACAGGCATTGGACCTTCTTAGGAAACACGGTTGCGCTAACATTTATGAAAAGGCTGGCAGGAAGTTCTTGGTCTGATGTTTTGAGACCAGGCTGTCTCCCTTGTGCTGTCCACAACTACTTAACACCACGGCTGTTTCTTCAAGTGAAAGCTTGTTTCGATGGACACGGTAATTGTTGAAGACTATTGTTCTGGATAAAACTACAGGAAAAAAAAATCAGGTTTATATACAGACTCTCATGGTCATCCACTGCAACTACTAAATAAGATTGTGCTTGAAAATTGAAAAGCAGTAGATTGTGGCCTTGAACTGTATACAGGAATTTTGTATAGTGTTTTTTTTTTTTTTTTTTTTTTTTTTTTTTTTTTTTTTTTTTTTTTTTTTTTTTTTGTGGGAAGCTATGCCAAGGGACGCTCTTGGAATTTACATGCAACAGAAGGAGTGTTAAGTGGTTACATCAGTCTTTCAGCAGAGGAACAGTTGTAGCTGCCCTCTGGAAAAATAATGGTTTCTTTAAGCAGTCTGACGTTTAAGCCAGTATTGTTCTTGCAAGCATTGTCAATTTATTCTTGTTCTTTAAATAAAAGTCTTCTACATCTAGGCATTAGCATTTAATTTGACAGATGGATGGAAATTAGTATCTATCGCTCATTTTACAAGTCCTTTTTTTTGTTAAAAAAATACAACGTAAATTTAACTCAGTAGATAAAAAGCAGGGCTGTTAGGTGCCATGACTTAGCTTTGTGCAATAAAGCCAAGCTCACAACATAAAAGGGAAGGCAAGATTTGCTACATTTATCAGGCATGACTAGCAAGAGCTTTCAGTGAAGAAAACTGGAAGTCCCTGCTTCTGGGGATGTCCATGGCCAAATAAAATGCTTTTTGCTATAGTGATGGTAAATTTTAGGTTGTTCTAGGCAATAGGTAGTATCAAGTTCTGTGGGGCTGTGGCTCTTTTAGAAGGGTCAGAATTGATACCAGCTTCTGGAGTCCCGAAAATGCAACACTATGACCAGTCTTGCAGCTTACTGAAGGCTCTGCATGTCTTAATAGAAAAGTTAACTCTTCCTGAAAGAGCAAAGGCAAGGCTGCAAAAAGCCTTAGGGAATGTAGCATCCGTCTTAGTAATTTCCATAAGCAACTTTTTAAATACAGGAGAAACGTTCACAGTAGGATACAGCCATGAGCTCAGAAGGCTGAATTTAGAAAGCAGAGAGGTACAAAAGAGCCTGTTTAAAAAAAAAAAAAAGTAGGAAAGATGGATTTAGATCAAGAACTGTTACAGGTCACTTAACCAAAACACAGACTTGATACCAATACCTGATAGATACTACCACAGACTGAGTAAAGCTTCAAAGCAACTTGAATAGCAGTAGGTAAAAGCTGGTGGTTATACCTAAAGAAGATCCTTCTTTCGACGTGTTAAGAGTCTGGTGAGCCTTTGCCGCTAACTTGCAGTTTGCTAAAATTCTGGATGCAGTACCTGAAAACCAGAAGGGGGCGCTACTACTTAACCAAGCAGCTTACATCTCTTAAAGACAGAACACTACTGTTCAGGTGAAGCAGAAAAACTTGACACAGGACAGCTGAGCGAAATGAATTTGTCACCTTACAGGGCAAAGCTGCGCTGAAAGAATACTGCTTTGACACTGCTAGCCGTGCTAAGAGACAAGCAGGAAGAGAATACAAGCATAGTCACCCAAAAGAGATTTAAAAACAAACTTTAGTCAGCTGCTGTACAATAAGCTTAAGAACAGGGGTTTTGGGGTTTTTTTTTTGTTTTTTGTTTTTTAAACTAATTGCCCTAGTAGCACATCATAAACAGCAAGAAGAGAACAAAGCTTAAATATGTTCTCTTCTTTCTTAGATTCAGGCACTGCTCTAATTCAGACTCCAAGTCCTACACTTTGGGGATTTTAGTGCTATATGGAAAATCCGAAACAAGGCCTGGTTTAAAAAAAAAAATTTATTTTACAAAAATTAAAAACAAGTAGTATTTACAAGCATTTTAAATACCAGCTTTAAACCTTAACTCCTAATAACGAATTGTTTAAGCTTGTTTAAAATGCAAGACAGTCAAAATTTTAAGTTTGCCATGTCCAAAAGGGGTTTGGGTTTTTTTTTTTTCTTTTCCCTTTTTTTTAAGAAATGTCATTACCGACCTGTTGAAAATAACGTACTAATAGAATAGCTTGGTTTTTTAAAAGTGAGAATCCCAAGATGTTCTTTCATCCTCTGGTTACTTTTCAGATGTTTATAATGAAGAAAAAAGGACTTTGTTAGCTGTTAAACTTGTAGCAAAAATTAGGGGCTGGAGAAGGTGGGAGGAAAGAGGGAAAAATACTTATCCATCTGCTGAGTTATTTGTGCTGCAGTGAGAAGAACAAAATTTGTATGCCAAGTTGAAGCCGACCAAAGTCAGAATATTGGTCCAGGTCCCTGTCAGAAGGGTCCTCTAGCAAAGGTGAACTTCAAGGCTCTCTTTAATCTATTCCAGAACAGTTTATTAATACCCATAAGACCTAAGCTGAGGCTCAGTACGGGTCAAACCTGTACCATACAGAATTAGAAGCTATGGAGATGATCAAATCAGCTTCAGTATATCCATTCCCACTGTTGTTAAAGTAAATCTCTGAATATTTTTAGCTGCAAGGATTATTTTTAATGTCATCCTTTCCCAAACCTCCGCAGTGATCAAAGGGAGCAATATCCACAGACTACAAAGATAAAAATAAGCAAAACATGAGGTGAAGCTGTCACCCTCACAACATGCAGAAGTTTTAAAATAAGCTTCCTAAAGCACAATTTGCAAATTTGTGTGCATGTCTGTGTCCGATTTCACTGGATTTCCAGACCCTTAGCCTTACTGAATACTCTACTGTTAAGTCTTCCTTGCAGGTTCTGTACAGTATAAAGAGGAAAAACCAGAGGTATACACAGTAGTTTGTCTCTTGCCCTTGGTATTAAAAAGATGGCAAGCCACCAATGCTGGCATTAGGAATTCAGTCAACTCCTTTTCTTGGTTTCAAATGAAGATGCAGCTTTTCTCTTCAGCAAAACTGTAGGCCTTCTGCAGACTGTATTGTATACTGTAGGTGCCTTTTGTTTGAGACACTGTTAGGGAAAATGGTTGAGGACAGCAGCTGCCAATACGGTAACCGTGTTCTGCTAAGGAGTACCACTTATCACGGCTGCATGTTGTTGATAATAGCCAAAATGCTCATCTTCTCTTGGGCTGAGTCCACATCTTCATTTTGTTTCTGAGCCACTCCTGTGCCAAGGCCATACAGCCGCCCACAGTACTTTGCATCATCAATCGTATCCTCAAAAAACAACTGTAGAGAAAGAAAAAAGGAAAAATGGGCATTGTTTAATTGTGCCTCTTAAGCAGAAAGCATGTACCATTAATTAAACAGGTCATTTGAGGTCACCCAGCTCTAAGATGCTGCACGGGAATTAAAATAAGCCCAAGAAAGAGGCATAAATGAAGCAAGTCTGCCAATATCAACACTTCCTATGACTGACATTTTGAAGTTGAGCTGCCATAAGCTCAAAAAAAAAAAAAAAGTCATTTGTGTGTTGACATTTGTGGACAGAGCCTGGAAAAAGAAGACTCAAACCAGGAACTATAGTCCTCTTGTCTTGCTGCTGAAAGAAGAGGAATACAGCACTACCTCTTTCATTCTGAAGAACGCCATTCCTGTGAGCAGAGAGTCTGATCCTGCCTGGTGTTGTCGCCCAATTCGCTGCAAATCTAGCTGATCTGCCACTTCTTGAAGGCCACCCTGCAATCAGAACAGAACAGGCTTTAGCTCCTGAAATCCATCTCTTGCCAAAACTGTGCCACACTTCTCCAGAACGCTGACTGCAAATATTGGCTCTTAAGATGAATGGATGCAGATTCCAGCAGTACTAGCACACCAGGTCTGAGTGATACACTGCTGTAAATATTGTTCAAGAACATATACACACACTTGTGAAATTCTGGTACCTTGATTTCATACTGCAGATACCTGGGATGACTGTAGATATATTCATAGGTTACAAATGCTGGACCTTTCCCTCCCTTTCCTCAAACAAGTCTGTGATTCAGTAGATAAATTACTTTCAACCTGCTGAGTGTTCTACCAGTTAATCAAGCCATGCAATAGTTCATTTCAAAAGAAATGCTCCACCTTGCATAGGGAAGACAAGCATGCAGAATTTCAACTCGCCTCCACAGTTACTGATATGTAAACCGGAAGGTTATGGGAGTGTCCCCTATGCAACACGCATATTGACAGGCTTAACACTGAGGAGGCAGCGTCTTAGATATAAGCTTAGTTTTAGGTACCTATATGTGACCATTAGCTTTTTTATACACATTCCAGCTTTAATAGACCTGATACATGCAGCAGTTCTGTCATTTGGCTTACTGCTTGTTTACAGTGTCGATGCCCATTCATTACTATGGGCTTGCTGGGGAGATGCAAGTACCTTGAGGTTTTTGCAGCTCTTCATTAGGTACTTTACATCATAGATAGATGGGAAAAAAAGGTTCAAGATATGGAAAAACTCATGTTCCTCTTCTGGTAACCTGGAATCTGTCAGCAGCTTCACCATGTAGCCAAAGTCATAACCACTGAAAACAAAAACATACAAAAGCCAGATAAATAGGCAACAGCTATATCCAGTGGCCTTATCACATTCTTCACAGAGTTTTATATTCTATAGCTTTCACACCTTAACATTTTCAGCTGTTTATAAAACTCTTCTAGATCAGAGTCAGGATTCATCTTAACCATCTATCTCAATGGAGGACTTCTGACCGCTTCCCTGTGTTACCTCCACTAATCTCTTACAAAACAGCTATGCTGTTGGGAAGAACATACTTTTCCTCTCAACATTGCAAATTTCTGTAGCTATGGGCAAGACAGGAAGCAGTACACCCTAGGAGTATCTGTTGCCACCTCCTCCTCCTCCCTCCAGTCCTTTCACTCGTGATGATATCAAAGACAAAAGAGGCTTTGTAATCAAATTGCTTGAAATGCTACAGGAAAGGCACCTCCGCTACACAGATTTCTTCCCCTGTACATAAACATAAGACAGAAATTGAAAAGAACAACAACATTGTAAGTAAGAAAAAACAAAGCCCTTACTTCACAATACACGCAAGTAAGTACAGAAATCATATTTCAACTTGTTAACAACCATTTCCATAGAGGAAGATTGTAAGAGTCAGAGAAATGATTTGCAAGCCACACATACACAACAGTCGGGCCACAGGAAGCGCTAGTACAAAACAAAGTGCCAACTGTCCTTACTTCTTTAACTTAGCTTTTATATCCTTAAGCTTATTTAAGAACTGCAGAGCTGCTAATTCCTCTCCTTTAAACCTGTGTCAAGTCTCCATGGACAAAAGGAGGAGTATTTCAATCGACAAGAGACTTCTCGCTTGGTAGTGTCAGTGATCCTCTTGGACCTACCTGTGAAATGACAGCCATTTCACACTGTCACTAAGGACAACCCCAGAAGTCATAAGCAACTCGGCGAAATGCAGAGTATCGATCCCTTCTTCTTCATGCTTCTGGAACTGCAGCCCAGAGCTCGCAAGCAGATCTATGGAATCCTGAGAGTACATATCCTCCCTGAAAGAGAAAGGCAGCTTCACACCCAAGATACTAACAAGCTCACTTCAGAAGAATTCCCCACATGCTTTACTTCAAACCATCAAGAGTGACCAGTAAGGCCATCTCTGGGTTCCACGTTTGTCTAGAATATTCCGATCAAATCTGTTTTCTTAGTACTACTACTGCAACCTCATCTATTCTTAACAATCTATTCTGCAATTGTAACCACTCAATAATCCTATTACTAGTGCAGATTCCAAAGAATCCACCTCCGTATAACTACAGGACGTTTTGAATAATATTGCTAGCACAAAGCTCAAAGTACCACCACAAAATAGCACAGAGAAAAGGGGAGTTGTCCTGAACCAGAAGAGGTGCAGCTCTAAAGCAGCAAGCATCACTGCTGTCTACATTTTTATTTTTCACATTACAGCCTTATCTTCATCTCCATTTCCATCTCTGGGAGTGGAAAAAATTGCATAATACTTTGCTTTACAAACATGACTAAGGAAGTAAGACCGGAATGAGTGATGATATGCTTGGTGGAAAGCTGAGGAAGAACCTGACTTCTGTACTAGACTGCTTCGTTTGGTATGCTGGGAGGGAACAAAATTCATGACAAAGATAATCATTTTGGATCAAATGAGGCATTCACAGCGTCCAAAATACTTCATTCTGATTTCAATACTTCTAAGGCCCTGACAAGGTTGGGGAACTAAATACTGCAACTTTTGGTGTCAATAAATGCATGAACAGAATACATGAACAAGAATTATTATAATGCTTTCCAGTAACATTTTCATAAAATACCAATTTCCAAAAAATTTGTGTGTTTGCCAGAGAAACACTCTCTTTATGTTTCCAGGCAGCTCTAGTGGTATGCATGCTAACTTGTCTTTACAATTACACAGAAAGGGATTATGAAGTTTGTTTCAACTGTACAAAGAAATAACACTGTAAAAGAGATGAGAACTACTGCCATACTCCATTTAACAAAGTCATTCTTTTGAATAACTGTTTTGATTCCCCCAACGTTTTTTTTTTTTTTTTTTAAATGCCCCAGCTTGTATTTGGCATGGGTCTGTAAGAGGTGTCGTCTTCATTGCAGAGGAGAGCACATCCATTTATTTTTAGCAAAGAGAGATGAATTTTTAAAAGATACAGTTTATAAAAAAAAAAAAAAAAAACACACTATAGCATTGTTCCAGAACACACGTTTACGGCACATACAAATACTGGGTATAAGCCATTTAGCGAGGAAAAGAGTATTAAGGATCACATTTTAGCAGAGCTTTGACTTCCAGAAATACTGCAAACTCCTGTCATGACAAAACAGATTCCCACATAATCTTTCTGTATTTGACTCTGAATTTGTATTGGTCAGAATCATTCACCAGTGATGAACCCAGTGACACCTGCATTTGCCAAAGGAAAACATCAGTGCATCAGCAGAGAATAGGTGATCGTTCCCTAGCTCAGAAGACTCACGTAAGGTTGAATTTGAAGTTAAACTGCCAGGTGTTGATTCCGGAAGGATATTCTCCCTTCTCATTTGTGAAAGTTAGGCCCAGCTGGATAATTTTCAGAAGGTCAACATTACAACGAAGGAGCTGGTATTGATAGTCTATGGAACTGCGGAATTCACCAATTGGCCTTACAACAACTCCAGGAAATTCTGTGTCCTAGTAAAGGAGGGGGGGGGAAAAAAATTACATCACTTCCTTTATTAGCAGTCTTACGTTCAGTTCCACACTTTTAGGTCCCAGCGCTGAATCTGTACATTTTTCTATGAAATTACTTACATAATAGAAGGCAGAAAGGAAAAAAAGTATTTTAAGCTACTGGGAAAAAAAAAAACTAAACAATTCATTAATCATTATATTCATTCATTCATTCCAGGTATCCTCTTTCAGTGTTGTTTCCTTCCAGAGCAAAAAAAGTTATAAAATCACCCAATATGCACTACTGCATAATCTAAACATCTCTCTCCTGAAAGACTAATCCTCTCATTTTCCCTAAATACACTAAAATGGGCATTTTATATTTATTCAGTGTTCTTTTACGTTCTAAATACAAGTTAAATTTAGCACTCACAGTCTTAATGTGATAGTCCAGCTAGTGATAATCTTCACTGTTTTTGAAAAACAACCAACACCTAAATTAACAAAAGCTACTGCCAATCAAAACAGACTTCAACAAAAGAGAAACTGTGTGTTACATAAAAAACATTTTACTTGGCTAGTGATTGCGTGCTATCTTGACTAAACCTCTAGCTTCTAGACTAGTTTTACACTCAAATTTATTCACATAACTTCTGACCAGCTTGATAGAGAACATATCCAAAAACTTTCATAAAGAATCCAGTATTATGCATCTGACAACATTTCCTCCTAGCCTAATCTTTTTGTGTCCAGTCTTACTGCCCAGTTATTCATATATGATATCAGTCCAGCCATTAGCATAGATCTATCTAAACACGCTTTCATTAACATCAAACAGAGCAAAGAAGCAAGAAAGCTTGTTTCCCACCAACTGATGACAACAAAACTGAATCACATTTACAGGATTTTAAGTGTTTCATTTTTGAATAACATATACTCTGCAGGGATATGTATTTTTATGCCACACTTCTATTAAGGACTTCGAATGTCTTGAAGTTTAGACTCCCTAAGCAAAGTTGACATAGTACAATAACTAGAAACAGTTATGTAATTAACTGGCTCCTGCTGAGCAGATACCTATTTTTAAGAGCAGGAAAGAAACCATTCCTCCCATCTCTCCCTTCACCTTGAAACTAGAGTTCTCATTAAGATCCTTGGTCTTCTGAAATAAAACTCTTCGAACACATTGCCACACCTGCAGCCAGAAAAATCTATTCCATAAGAATCAGCATCTGACCGCAGTAAAAAAAAGGAGGCATTCCTACCAGCCACCAAGTTGCAACTTGCAGGCCTTTTGTCCTACAGTATCATGGCATTTCCCATAGCCAAAAGGAAACAGGCATTCAGAGGACAAGTATACCAGTGAAATCTGAAGATTTAAACCCAATTGTACATCTGATCTCTTTAATTTGAGACTGCATTAGTTTATGCAATGGGAATAGTTAAATATTAAATGATTTCAGATGTTGAAAGTGGTTTTCACTTCCCCACCTCTCATTCAATCTGTACGGAATACTATGTTTACCAAAATCCATGAAGTCCTTATAACTGAACAGCTTTCTAAGTTTTCACTACTTAACTTTTAGCTCAGTTTGGTCACAGGAAAACACCATTTCTGGTTCAAGAATCAATTTATTCTCCTGCCCCTAAAAAATCCCCTGACTGTGGCAATAAGGTCAAGTATAACATGCTTACCATTGCAATGTAACTGTAACTTAGAACAATCTCTCGAATTTTCCTCATCTCTTCTTCCAGATTGTTTGCCCATACTTCACAGATAACTTGGCTGTTCTCTGCAAGGGCTGCTGGCATCTTGCAGGGATTGTAGTAAAAACAGCTGATGTTGAATTCAGTTGACAGCGTAGAATTGCAAGCTGTGTGATCTAATCAGTTTGCTGCATTAAAGAGAGAAACATACAGTACTTTACACGAAGAAAGATCTAGGTATCTGAATGAATGCACTAGCAGAGTAAGTCACGTTTCTATTCTTAACCTCAAATAGCAAAGCTAAAGTTTTACACTAACTGTTTCCTTGCTTTTATCACTTCCTTTAAACATGCTGAAAGAGAAGAAAAACTAAACCATCCGTTTGTGTTACAAGAGTAGACATACAATTAACAGAGTCCAGTTATGCAAGTCAATAGTGCCTCTCCCTTTCATCTTCTCCTGGCATAAACTCTGAAACTCTAGGCATAAGATGCACAAACAGGGAATCCTCACACTTAATTTTGCTTAGCTTCCACCAAGGTGCTATTGGGATAGTTTTGAAGACAAGTAATAGATTGCTTTACAAAGGACACTTATAAAGGCAGATGCTTCTCTGATGTAATTCAGGAAACACTGAAAAAGAAAGGTATTCCAGTTTATACTAATGCCGTTTCAGCAGTACAACGCCTAGGATAAATCACACTTGGCATGACTGCTTGTCTATCACTTTCTGAAACCACACGGGCAAAATTATTACAGAAATACGCAGCTAAGGCTCAGGTACTGCAGCAAACTGCCGGTATGCTCGCACGAAGTTAGCTGAGGGTACCTACAGCGGGGAGAGGGACGTGAGGCAACTGCCAGAGCCTTTCTGCGAGCGGCTGCTAATGGCTCGGGCCTCACGGCCGGGGGGCCGTCAGCCGCCGCCGGGC